ACTTACTTCTTCGGTAAAACAAAAGAAAAGTTTTCACCTACATGCTGCAGACGATATTGTCCATCTTCGTCTAATATGCAAGAATAAAAAGGATAATTGCTTATGTTTCATCAAATGCATTAAAGCATTAAGTTAAATAAATACTAATAATAATAGTAAATAATAATAATAGCAATAAGTTTAAATAAATAATATACAATATCTATAAAGAACATTGCATTTGTACAAGACTTTATCTTGTTTTAATGTGTACATATTATACTTGTTACAAAGATAAATGTGTAACAAATATAATAAAAAATTGTACGAGCTTGTATTAGATACTCGAATCGTTTCTCCAACTAAAGTCTTTATTTTGTGTATTATTACAATTTGCTCAGTTCGCTTACTCAATCTCGACTCTCCGTCTTTTCGCACGCTTGTCTATTTATACAATATCAAATATTATCCTATCTAATAAGCAAATGACACGTCGTGGTCTCTCATGTGTTATCTCGCTCGCAAATATATCGATTTGTAATACATGTCGAGTTCACTCACAATTCGGAGCAACAGTTACAGATTAAATTTATTATTTAATCTGTAACTGTTTAGTCATCAACATCCCGCCCATCAATTAATCCTGATTAATTTTATTTTTCATCGATAGGCAATTTACAAACTTTAGTGACTGGACGCTTGATAACATTATTTTCGGTTTGAATAGTTAACACGCGAACCCTTTTATCAACTCCCGGGTGAAGTTCGATTATTCTTTCTAAGTTTCCACTGCAAGGGTGGCATATTATCGCTTACAAGACTATGTCATTAACAGCTAGATTTTCTCTTTCGATCGTCCATTTGCATTTGCCCTGCAATGATGTTAAGTATTCGACACTTCATCGCTTCCAAAAATGTTGAGTTATACGCTGAGTCAATTGCCATCTGTCAAGTTTGTTAATAGGAACGTCTAATACATTGATATCTGGCAGACTAATAAGCGGTCCCCCTATTAAAAAATGTGCGGGCGTCAAAGCCTGTAAGTCATTAGGATCAGAGGACAATTGACACAGCGATCTTGAATTTAAGCAAGCTTCAATTTGAGCTAAAACAGTCATAAATTCCTCGAAAACGAGTCGCGTTTCGCCAACAACTCTTTTTAAATGATATTTACATGATTTTATTCCTGCTTCCCAAATACCACTCATGTGAGGCGCATGGAGGGGAATAAATTTCCATTCTATGCTTTGAAATGTACAATACTCCTCTATCGATTTGGAAAATGTTCTGATTGTCCGATATAATTCCTCAAGCTCTCTTTTTGCGCCGACGAAATTAGTGGCATTGTCGCTATAAATTTTTTGCGGATAACCTCCTCTGCTCACAAAGCGCAATGCAGCCAAGAACGCACTCGATGTCAACTCACTGACTGCTTCTAAATGAACCGCTTTAGTCGAAAAGCATATGAACAACGCAATATATGATTTGCGACTTCTTTATTTTCGACCCTTATTCGCAACTGTAACAATAGGGCCAGCATAATCAATTCCCACTATCGAAAATACTCGTTGACAAGCGGTAACCCTATCAGGTGGCAACGGTCCCATTATTTGATCTGACAACTTTGGCTTAATCCTGAAACACGTTACGCATCTCCTTGTTATTCTACGAGCAGTGTTGCGGCCGTTCAAAGGCCAAAATCTTTTCCGAATTGAAGAAAGCAAAGCTTGTGGGACCGGCATGTAGCATACGACAATGTTCTCGTTCAAATAACAATTCAACAAATCGACATCCTGCCGGCAGCAAAATCGGATGTTTTTTGTTATGATTAATAGCGGATCTCTGCAACGTGCCACCCTGAGAATCCCATCGTTATCTAAAAATGGACTCATATGTGCAAGCGCGCTGCTTCTATTTATGCGATCGTTGTTTAAGTCATCCAACTCCCTTGCAAAAAACTGCTCTTGAACATGTTTAATTAATTTTAATTGCGACAGATGCAAATCCCTCACGGATAAGTTACCAAAATTGCGATTCTCGAAATTGTCTCTAGAATTCGTAATGAATCGATAACACCAAGCAAGTACTCTTTCGATTTTAGTTAATGATGAGAATTTAGAAAACATTGTTTCGATTATCGATTCGGAATTAGCTCGAGCAACAAAAACTCGCATATTTCCCTTTTCTTCCGATTGTATGATGTCAAATTCCTGATCGGAAAGTTCGCCCTTGCCTTGATATGGATCTTTGAATTCCGAAAGCCACGATGAACCTGTCCACCACAATGAATTGTTATGAAAATTGTCAAAATTATTGCCTCGAGAGATTAAGTCCGCGGGATTTTCTGTACCTGCAACAAGTCCCAAATGACTGCTAGGCAGGATAGATTGGATTTTGCTGACCCTATTACCGACAAATGTTTTCTGTCGACTCGGTTCACCCGCGATCCACGTAAGAACAATTGACGAATCGCTCCACGCATAGATTTTATGAATCCCAATAGTTAACGACTCACGAACAATCCGGATCAAATCGACCAACAAAACGGCTCCGCACAACTCCAACCGCGGGATGGTTAATTTTTTAACGGGCGCCACGCGTGAGCCAGCGTATAACAATCTCGACGCAACTCGATTTGCATCATCAATTGCTCGCACGTAAATACACGTACCATAAGCTCATTCTGATGCGTCACAAAACGCATGCAGATTGATATGCACCGGATCTCGAACGCCCACAACCTGTCTCGGTATTCGCGTTGTATGAATTTTTCTTAGATCTCGGACATACTCCAGCCACATCCGGCATAAATCTGCCGGTAAATCGTCATCCCAACAAAGACTCATTTGCCACATGAATTGCATTATCAATTTTGCTTTTATGATTATTGGACTCGCCAAGCCCAACGGATCGAATAACTTTGAAATAGCAGACAATACGCTTCGCTTTGACTTCGCATTATGCATGAAGAGATTCGAATCATTCAATTCATCGCTGCTCGGTTGCCATCGAATACTTAATGTTTTCGTTACATCTCGTTCATCAGTTATAGTCTGAAAGTCAATCTCATCATCAATTTTATTCGTTTTAAGGAGTAATTCGTTATAATTTGATCGCCACTTATGTAATTTAAATTGTCCGAGCTTTAATAATTCTGTCAATTCTTTAATTAAAATATCCGCTTCATTAACATTATCTACCCCCGTTAAAATATCATCAACGTATAAATCTTGAAGCAAGACTCGTGATGCTTGAGGGTGACTTTCAGCCTCACTCGCCAATTGTCGAACGCTCTTTATTGCTAAAAATGGTGCACAAGATTGTCCATAAGTTACCGTGTTTAATCGATATTCTTGAATTGGCTTATCTAGCAAAAAGCGCCATAAAATTCGCTGATAGTCCCTATCATTCTCATCGACGAGGATTTGTCGGTACATTTTCTGTATATCGGCTGTAATTACCACTGGATGCGCTCGAAAACGTAAAATAATATTAATTAGTGGATCTTGTAAAGTAGCACCCACCATTAACGTGTCATTTAAAGATAAACCTGAGTTAGTCTTAGACAAGGCATCGAAAACAACGCGAAGCTTCGTGCTAATAGATGACTCGCGATAAACGCCATGATGAGGTAAATAAACAGTCTCGCTTGTCATAGCAGTAATTCTCGGAACGATGGTCATATGCCTTAGACTTATGTATTCTCGCATGAATTCTATATATAATTGCCGATACATGTTATTACTTCGAAATTTACGTTCTAAATAGAGTAATCGTCTTTCCGTAATCGATCGCGACTCGCCAAGCTTATGCTTATTGTCTCGGAAAGACAATCGTACAACAATTCTGCCCTCTGTGTCTCGCGTATGAGTGCCTTTAAATATTTCTTCGCATGTTCGTTCTTCACTCGATAAAATTGCATTATCGCGACTCGAACAATCCTCGATTTCCCAGAATTTAACTAAAAATTTATTTAAAGAGTTCTGCGTAACTAAACAATTGATTTGACTAATTCCTTCCCTTTTTATATATTGTGCTGGGATTCGACCTGAAATAATCCAACCGAATTTCGTATTCTGTAATGTAGGTAAATTATTTCCGCGCTCAACCCTTGCAGGTTCTAATAACTTTAAAAAGAATTCGCTGCCCAAAGGCATGTCGATTTGACTTGGACGGTGGTATTGCGGATCGGCTAAATTTAACGTGTCTGTTATTGAAAAAACATCACTATTAACTGCCACCGAAGGCAGTTCTCTAGTAATCTTCGGCACTACCAAACAAAATGCAGATAATAGATAAGTGGTTATTCTTGATTTTATCGTTACTTGATCCGTGATTTATCGTACAAATCGAACTACCAATGCCCGAGACTGCCTTGTGAATGTCCTCTAATTTTAAATTTAATTTAACACAGGCTGTTCTTGTTATAAAATTCGCTTCGCTCGCTATCAAGAAGAACACGAATAGGTTGATCGAACATGTTCGAGTCCTTTACGTATACTATTGCTGTTGACATTAAGATTTCGCCAAATCTTGCGCGACTCGTTGTGTGATGTACCGATAAATTAACATTTGCTTTTTTGTTTTTGTGACCTTCTCCGTTAACCGCTTCAATGTTTGAAGTAACCTTGTCTACTCGAGGCTCTTGTTCTGTATAGCACAATGTATTATGCCTCCTCGCGTATTGTCGACAGGAACTCGCTCTACAAGCGCTGACAAAATGATCGTTCCGTAAACAATTAAAACAAAGCTTCAATCGCTTAACTTCATCAATTCTTTCTCGCACAGACAGATTTAAAAATTTTTCACACGAATATATTAAATGAGGACCGCCACATATAAAACAGCGCCCGACGACTGTTGACACGGCTAAACTTATAGTTTGATTATTTCTAGATGTCCTTGCCTCGCTTCTTCCTGTAGATCTTGAGGCCTCGTTTCTTCCAGCGACTCTCGAATTGTCAATTCTCCCTAACGACCTCGGTGTTTCATTGCCTCGTCTGGAGTTCGCTGCCACTCCTCTAGTTCGATTCCTCTCTGTGGAATGCGCTGCCCAGTCGATCAAGCATTTGCATACGTCGCTGTAAAAAATCAAATAATAAATCGACTGTAACATTTTGTCGACTTTCCTTCCTCTCTTCCCAGCGGCGCCGAGTAACTCTGTTCAGCTTCTCTTCCACCATATATAATATCAAAGAATCCGCCCATGTTTCACTGATGGATTTTACAATTCGAAGATGTTTCTGGAAATGATTAATTAATTCTTGAATATCAACGGCTGATTCTCGCTCGACCTTAGGTGCTTCAAATAAACATTGAAGATGTCTTCGCTTTAAAACTTTCTTATCTTCGTAACTGTTTTTTAAAAGATTCCAGGCCACTTCGTAGTTCTGTGCCGAAATCTCGATTGATTCGATGATTTTTGCCGCGCTTCCCGTCAGTGCACCGATCAAATATTGCAGTTTTTGAATTGCCGATAAATCGTTGTTATGAATTAATGCGGTAAAGGTATCAGAAAACCGTGTCCAGTCCTCTATTTCTCCCGAAAAGATTGGCAAATTGATTACCGGCAGTTTGACTGTGGTATCAATTTGTGAACCATTTGAACTTAACGCTCTAATTACTTCTGTCTGCTGCTCTATCACTTGTGCAAGTGATTCGCCACCGTTAGTTGTACTTATAATCGATTTAATTGCAGCAGCCCATCTCGACAATGTTGCACTCAATTCTACATATCGTTCTTCAAATACATCGTCTTCTCGTTGATCTTCAATTGGCAGCTCATTCTCCTCGATAACGCATACCAATTGCCGCTGTATTTCGTTAAATTCCTTGTACACTTGCTCTAATCTTTTTGAATATATTGTGACCGTTTCGATGCTCGGCGATGTCCTCTGGTTTGCCACGTTTTCCACAAACTTCCAAATATGTATTTGTTTTGCCTTAATATATCCTCGTTGGCGGCGTAATTCTTGCGCGCTCATTTTCGCAGTTGCTTAATCGTTAATCGTAATTGTTAATTGCTTTATTCTCAATCCGGCTCGAAGGACCATGTACGGGCTTATATTAGATACTCGAATTGTTTCTCCAACTAAAGTCTTTATTTTGCGTATTATTACAATTTGCTCAGTTCGCTTATTCAATCTCGACTCCCCATCTTTTCGCACGCTTGTCTATTTATACAATATCAAATATTATCCTACCTAATAAGCAAATGACACGTCGTGGTCTCTCATTTGTTATCTCGCTCGCAAATATATCGATTTGTAATATATGTCGAGTTCGTTCACAATTCGGAGCAACAGTTACAGATTAAATTTATTATTTAGTCACCAACAAAAATAAAATTAAAAAATATAAAAAATATAAAAAAGTACAAAAAAATACAAAAATACAAAAAAATGTAATAAAATTTTTTATTTTTCTAACTTTTCTATCTTCTATTATATCTATTCTTTATTATTTTCTAATTACAGATATAACTCTTTCTAATAACAGATATAATTTCCATTTTTTTTTAATATAACGAACATTGTATGTCAATGTTATTAATATAATGCTTACAACTGTAAGCGCTAAAGCGAACATAGCCTACATCGTAAAGCGCGATCGTCAGATCGATGGTCAGAAATCAGAATCGCCGAACGAGCAGGCTAGTGTGAGAATAAAGAGCGAAAGAGTCAGGACTAGGTTTGCTAGCCTCGTCTATTATCCGACGGCGGCCGAACTTTCGAACTCTCACGGACATGCTTTCTCCTTGTGTGCGGCATCCCCACTCCCTGACTCTCTCGTGACTCTCGTCTTGAATCTAGCATCACTGATCCCGAATGCGATGGATGAGTTGCTAGATTGTATGTAAGCCGTATACGCAGTGCGTCGCTAGGCAACTGGGCCCGCGTGTTGTCGAGCGTTTAGACGCACGGGTTGCTAGGCAACTGTTGATGTTTGCGGTGACATGTGTTTCTTGCGTATATCGCAGGAAAAAGTCCGAGAACGCTCCGACTTTCGAATATGCAAGAATACGGAAATATCGTGAGCGCCCGATATTTCGTAGGATAATTTTTTTCTATTATTAAAATATTATAAACATTGTAGCGCACGAAACACTGGAAAGTAATTCTAAACACGGCGATAATCCGGAAATCTAACTAAAATAAATAGAAAACAGCGAAATATAAAATTTGTTAATAAATGGTTCCATTTCGCAGAAAAAGCAGTTTTATAAGTATTGTAAGATTTTTTAATATAATTGATTTATATATATCCAATGAAATAAGGGCAAGATCAGAAAATCTTACAACAATTGCATAGCTGTTTTTTCAGCTGAACGCAACTAATGTCTATAAAAGTAATTTTTTCATTATAATGTAACGCCGTATATCTCATATAATGAAAACAATTATTGTAAAATATTATTGAATAATTATTAATATTGTATTATTAAAATTTATTATTAAATGTATTATGATTATCAGCGCCATAACAGACAACACAAAAGTACTACGTGGTTCAATTCGACGACGGAATCCAAATTATTCCTAAAAATTAGTTTGTTGATGAGACTCAAACAAAAACATATTGACCAAACTATACTAATTTCAAAACTTATGATAAGGCAGTCGAATCAATGCAAAATGTTGACATTGTTAATTGGACAAGTCACAGTACGTGAAATTATAACAACTTCTGGTAAGTAGAAAAATGTATTTCTCAATAATATTTATGGTATAATACATACAAATTAACATTTTTGTTTTATTGAATGTCGATAAAAAACAGCAACATAGTCCTATAATAAATCATTCGAAAATGTGGACGATAGTTTCCACAACAATTTAAAAATTAAGCATTTCGAAAAAATGTTATAAACGTTGTTCAATATTGAACGATGCATGAAGTAATAATATCGATTTGATCTTGCATAAATTATTAAGTTCTAAAAGTCAATACGATTTCTTTAAATGACGTTCTATCTTTTATTATAAGTTTTTGTTATTGATCAAGCATAGCAACTTTTATTTTTTTTTTATATAAATATAGTAGCTTTTGTTTTGTCTTCATTTGAATGTTTTTTAATCGAGTGATATTTAAAAGTTCCATTATTTTCGATGATTTTTAACATTAGGAGTATTGTAACATTGACAAAAATATCTTAATGACAGAACTAATGGAACTTTGAAAAACTCTGCGATTTGTTTAATATATACATTTAAGTTTCAAAAAGTTTATTTTATCTTAATAACTCTAAGAGCTACCAACAATATACCATCTGGAATATTTTTTCGAAAATACTTTCGACAAATACTAGTTTTAAAGACATTTTTCTTTTCCACACTTTTAAATAATCTAGTATAATAAATCCGATATTTTTTTAATTGTAGACATCTTATGTATTATGACATCTCAAATGTATTATTACTGCGAATCAAAATGAAGAACGAGTTGTATGTACAATCTGTAAAAATAATCAAGCAGAGAAACGTGAAGAGGAAGAAAATCTATTTGTCTCTATGTTTCCTGTAAAAAACGATGAGGAATTACAAACATTAGAGAGGTTGTTAGTGGACAAACAAAGTTATACAAAATTGATAAGATATTTGTCTTCTTGTAAGCAATTAATTTTAATCCTATTGATTTTAATGATGGTTTTAGACAAGTATATTTAATAATGTTACAATTTTGCACAGGTAAATATTACAGAAATTTTACAGAAATTAGACGGGCACAATATAAAACATGTTATACATAATATCTTAAAAAATGCTTCGTATTGAAATTAGCGCAAACATATAGTTGGCTTGGAATTGGAAAAAGAATAAAAAAAAAGTTTTCTGAACTACGTTTTTGCACAGTCATAATAGGTAAGAGTTCTAAATACATACTTTAAATACATTTTCTACGAAATATTATAATTAGTTTATATATGCTAATTGATAATAAATTTAATGTAATTTTTTTCATTTTGACGCTAAACAAAACTTTTGTGAATAATTTTTATATGTTTAATCCGAATTAATTATCTATTTTTCTTTATCATCATTTTTTCACATATTTTAACGTTTAAAACCTATGACTAAAAACGATATAAATTACTTGTAATCAGAAATATCATTAAACTCATTACTCTTACTCACTACATTACATTACTCTTACAAGTACTTTTTAAAATTGATTTTGCATACTAATCGAAATTCGTTCCAAACTCTTTTCGGTATTCATCATATTGTTCCAGTTGAATTGCATTTTAATTTGTTAAAAAAATATTTTTAATCCTTTGATTAATAAGAATCAATCATTCGATAAAAATTTTATGAAAATGAAAAATCTGTAGTTTTTCGAATTGTTTCGAATGTAAGGCTATAGTTTTGAAATTTTTAAACCCGAAATGAAGGAATCATAGTACAGTCTTATATATTTAATTTATCAGTATGTCAATATTGGCTGCAATTTTAATATTTGAAATTCTCAGATTCGAAAGTAGCAACTTGGAAAATCACAGCTCATTCATTTTTATGAAATTTTCTTGGGGCACAAAAACGTTAAAGAATTAAATATAAAAAGATCCCCATCTGTGGTTTCAATTCACAGAATGAATTTTAAACATGAATTTGATTGGGTTAATATTAAGATTCTAGACAAAGAATCGTCATGTAACAAAAGGATTGTTTCCGAAATGATTCACATTAAAAAACAGCCTCAGGGGATTAATAAACAAAGTGATACGATGAATTTGTTAGCCGATAGCTACTTTCCCATCCTCAACTTATCTCCAGCAACCTATCTCCAAGCATACTCTCTCCTTTCCACAGAATTCCCCCTCCTTAACTGAACGTTTCGATCTTTCTTAGCGACGATATTTTTGTTCGACACATTCGTGAGTTTCTTTTTGAGATTAATCGTAACGCTGATCCGTTTTTACAATTGACTGCGAGGACTGTCTCCAAGATATCTGCATGGTTTATCTCACAACATCAAGACTCATTTAAGACTAATTCCATCTTCTACAATTTACCTTCTTAAATATGTTAAGTGGGATTGTGGTCAATACATTTTCTTCACACCTAGGAGAAGCGCATCTCTCACTTAATGACATTTCCACGCTCATTGGCATTATACATTGGGGATTGTCCACGTCGTTTAAACATGGAATGTGCATCGAGAATTAAAAAAGAGCGAGATTGGTGGCAATTAGAAGTGAGGCGATTACACGTATCTCGGATATAACAATACGCAAAATGAGGACATCTGCGGATATGACAAAATTGGGCACTACATTTGCGCGCACGCGCAAGCCAGTTGGTGCTTAACACGATCAGGCGTTGCCTCTTAGTTTTAAATTCTTAATCGTTTGTACTTGACATTCTCTTCACATCTATTATTTCATTAATTGTCTTTATGTCTTATTCATCGCGTTGTATTACCGCACTGAAGAAGACCTAATATAAGATCAAAACGACGTTTGTGTTTTTAATTTTAATTTTTTTAATTTTAATTTTAATTTTAATTTTTGTTTTCATTAGTCATATACTGAATTTTTGTTTTATTATTGACGAATCTATTCTTGTGTTTGTTACTTTTAATTATATTTCTTTATCCATGTATCTGATTTTATCGCCGACGAATTATATACGTTTTACACATATATCTTTTCCGCTTTTATGCTCCTGACTGCTCAGTATTTTAATTTTAAGTAGTGTCTAATCATTACGAAAAAATTTGATTTTTTTCATTTACGTTTTTGCAATTATTCTTTAATGTATGATCACTTTTGTTAGAGACACATTATTAATATATTTTATTCTTTATTCCTATGACATCTCATGCAAAAAGATGACTCAAGATGACTCTCAAGTTTATTTCATATATATTATATGCATAAGAATTTTTTAATTAAATAAATTAATAAGTTTCATTTTATATATTGACTTTTATGATTTTATATCCAATCCATACATTTTAGTTAAAAATAAAATTATATATAAAAAATAACATTGCGATATATAATTAAGATTTATTATAATTTTTTATTCCTTCAGCTTAATTTATTCAAAAAAGCAATGTAAAATATGACAATTATACAAAAAAATTCACTTTTATTTAAGAAAAATAAGAGTCTATTTGGAAATATAAAGAAAAAGCTTTAAGTATTAAAAAGATACATAAGAATAAACTCGAATATAATCTAAGTGGATATAATCTAAGTAATAGTTAACAAAAAATATTTTGATATAAAAAAACAAGTTTTCTAAAAAATTGAATAGATGACGTAATAATTTGTAAATGAGCAAAATAATGGTTAATTAAATTATTTCTATTAATTATTTCTAGTAACATTATTTATATTAATATTATTTTTTTGTTGTGCAACAATATCAAAATCATGATTAACTATATTAATCGCATTTTTTTCTCTTCTATTAATTGGTGGCTCATTCTCGTTTTCATCGCAAGCAATGTTATGTAAAACGGCAGTAGCCACTATTGCAGCCATTGTTGTATCCAATTTCAGTCTGAAACCAAGAGCTAAGGCAGGAAAACGTTTTTTCCAAATACCATAGCACAACATTCCTCGTTCGAATTTATGATTTATTGAATAAGTTTTTAGCTTCATTATTAACAAATTTAATAATGACGTTATTAAATATCTTTTAATGGGGGTATCCACTATCTCCAATTAATAAACTATTATTAAATTCTCCCATTTCAAAACGTTGGCAAATTCTTGAATTTCTGAATATATTTAAATCATGGAAACCAGGCCAATGACATCTCAATGATATCTTGAATTTTTCTATTTGCATCAGCAATTGTCTGTACGTTAAACGAAAAAAAGCCTTTTCTGTATAGTTCAGCATTGTCGCCTCTTGGTGATTGAATTTTAACATGACTGTAATCTATAGCTCCTATACATCGAGAAAAACGAGCTATACTAAAGAATTTTTGTTTTCTTTCCATTATCTCTTCTGGTGTTTCAGGCATATATTGCGGTTGGAGATTCGCTAAAGCTATGCTAACATTTCGAACTGTTTTTGAAGTAGTAAATTTTGAAACTCCAGTAAAATCTCCAATTACGCTTAGAAATGAAATCCTGTATTGTCTAACATAAAAAGTCGACTTTAATATCCTCGGAAATAGTTGACTTTAAGTCGACTTATTGTAAGACAGGTAAAGTCGACAAAAATCATTACAGAAACAATCGGTTAAATATCGACTTTATATGTCGACTTCAAATCGACTAAAAAAAGTCGACAAATAGTCATTTGTGCTGTATGGGTATGTTCTTAATTATTCATGACGACGAAAGTTATATTAAAATACCAAATGTTCATTCGTTTTGATATGATTACTTTGTGAACCGGAGAACATATAGATATTATATAAAAATATTAGATATTAGATATTAGATATTAAATAATTGTAAACAGTGTAAGCGTTGTATTAGTGTAATCATTATAATAGATGCGGAAACATTTTTATAATTTGACAACGAGACAACAAAATCGTCGCCTGCAGGCATACGAGAATCAACAGGAGCAAGTACCAATGGCATGTTCTCCGAAGACTACTCCAGTTAGTGTCCAGTTAGTATCAATGTAGAGTTGATCTCCAATTTTCATCAGTCCATTGCTACTGCTGCTATAATTCAAATGATAGAGACGATCATGAATTCGATGTCTCAATGTTTTACGATCAAGAAAATTCTGCAAACGAACGCAATGGAAATTTTTTCGAAAATGCATGCGAAAATAAAGAGCTTTCGATTTGGTTACGTTCGTGGAACTTGAAACACAACATTTCACACAATGCTGGAAGATATTTATTAGATTTGGAAAAATAAATGGAGACCGACTGGATTTGAACTCGGGATCTCTCGTTTACTAATCTGACACTTAGTCTACACGACCACGACGGCTCCTCTCTGTTAGCTGTTTATATTCCGAATCTCTTTCATGACCGCTTACGGTCGTCTAATTCTTACAATGCTATGTCCGAACTCTTGAGTCATTGCGCACATATGATCATACCGATCTACCGAAGAATGCAAGAATGGCTGTTAGAAACACCCAGATTTAATCTTCTCGAAATTTCAACCTGCGAAGATAGTAATTTTCAATACGGTTTGAAAAACGCTCTAATTGACGCTCTGATTGACACGTACTAATTATGAATTTGAAAATAATGTGATTGTATCTGAATATTGATGGACCACTAAATAAGCAGCAAAAGTCAAATTTGACTGATATTGGGAAAGATCTACGGAAATAAAGCATTCACGCCCTTTGTTATTAGTGCTTATCACGGATATTCAAAATCTAAATCTGTAACAGATTTTCTGGTTTTTTTTTTGCAAAGAATACCAAATGACTATGAACTTCGACGCACAGAAATTGCTTTCCGTGAAAAAATCTATGCAGTGAAAATTAGATGTATAATTTGCGATAGCCCTGCTAAATTGTTTACGGGTACTAAAAAACACAATGGCTTTTTCGGATATGGAAAATGTATACAAGAAGGCGGAAGCGTCCCAGATGCGCACATTTTCAATCGAACACACCACTCAGCTGATGCCTAGAAATTTTCTAGTGAGCCATCTATCAAAAATTGTTTTATTTAATCAGCCAATTGGCAATGTGTCCGATTGAACCTCACTCAAGAAGGCACAATCATCACATGCTTTTTTTAGAATTGGATTCACCTCCTTGGACTGATAAGAATTTTAAAAATAGATTGCAAGAAAATCACCATACTGAAACATCTCCATTGGAATCCATACTGCCTATAGTATCACGTTTCCTTCTAGATTATATGCATTTAGTGTGTCTAGGAATCACAAAGAAACTATTACAGTTATGGACAAGTGGATTTCATACGTCAAAACTAAGCGGACAAAAAATAATTAAGTTGTCTGATAAAATACCCAGATAGCAAAATGTTTCAAATTTGCTATCATATAGCCGAAAGTCGTTGCAACAACTAATTTAAACAAACTCGGGACAAGGTGAGACAGCATTATGTTTGTCGCATTGAACTCAATGGAATGATAATTTTAATAATGACAAATCGATGACATTATGATAGCATCAATCTACTATTTATAACTTAACGACAACTCGTGTTGTCAATTTGTCATCCGAAATTATTAACATGTTGATAGCAAATTGGCGATAACTTGAAAGCAACTCGTCATCATCGATATGCTATCCACACTTAACAACATGTTAACAATATGACGGCAACATATGCCAAATAACGAATGCTGCATATGCTGATAATATACCAACTAAATGTTCTGTGCCAGTTTCTCTGATAAAAATAATTGACAGAATCGGACAGAAACAGACAAGATTTCTATCGGTTTCTATTAGCTGTCTATACAGATAAAGATAAGCTTACAGTTTAGCCGATAGAAATCATATCCATTTCTGTCCGATTTTGTCCATAATTTTTATCAGAGTTATGCATTGTAAATATTTCAAAACAACATCGACAATGTTCAAGAAATAATAAAGAATATGTAAACTTATTTTTGAAACAACAACGTGTGTTTAGAAATATCGCATTTTTTAACAAAAAGGCAATAAAATTATATCAGAAGAAATTTTTAAATAGATTTCAAGACAACAAACTGTTTCAAAAATGCTTCTAATATAACTATATTACTATTTAAT